CACACACACACACACACACACACACACACACACACACACACAACACACACCACACACACACACACACACACACACACACACACACACACACACACACACACACACACACACACACACACACACACACACACACACACACACACACACACACACACACACACACACACACACATTTGGTCAGGGAAATGGCTACTGGAGTTTAACACCAGTAAATGTAAAGTTATGGAAATGGGATCAGGTGACAGGAGACCAAAGGGACAGTACACAATGAAGGGGAACAGCCTACCTGTAACGATTCGAGAAAGAGACCTGGGAGTGGATGTGACACCTAATCTAACTCCTGAGGCACATATAAATAGGATAACGACAGCAGCGTACTCTACACTGGCGAAAATTAGAACTTCATTCAGAAACCTAAATGAGGAAGCTTTTAGGGCGCTTTACACTGCCTACGTGAGACCCGTTTTAGAGTATGCCGATCCATCATGGAGCCCCCACCTGAAGAAACACATAAAGAAACTGGAGAAGGTTCAGAGGTTTGCGACGAGGCTTGTCCCAGAGCTACGAGGGATGGGATATGAAGAGCGGCTGAAGGAACTGAACCTTACGACACTAGAGAAAAGAAGGGAGAGAGGAGATATGATAGGGACATATAAAATACTCAGGGGAATTGACAAAGTGGAAATAGATGAAATGTTCACACGTAATAATAACAGAACGAGGGGACATGGGTGGAAACTGGAAACTCAGATGAGTCACAGAGATGTTAGGAAGTTTTCTTTTAGCGTGAGAGTAGTAGAAAAATGGAATGCACTTGGGGAACAGGTTGTGGAAGCAAATACTATTCATACTTTTAAAACTAGGTATGATAGGGAAATGGGACAGGAGTCATTGCTGTAAACAACCGATAGCTAGAAAGGCGGGATCCAAGAGTCAATGCTCGATCCTGCAAGCACATATAGGTGAGTACACACACACACACACACACACATAACACACACAGCATGGAGTCCATATCTAGTCAAGGATAAGACTAAACTGGATAAGGTTCAAAGGTTTGCCACCAGACTAGTACCCGAGCTGAGAGGTATGAGCTACGAGGAGAGACTACGGGAATTAACCTCACTTCGCTGGAAGACAGAAGAGTTAGGGGGGACATGATCACCACATTCAAGATTCTGAAGGGGATTGATAGGGTAGACAAAGACAGTCTATTTAACACAAGGGGAAACACGCACAAGGGGACACAGGTGGAAACTGAGTGCCCAAATGAGCCACAGAGATATTAGAAAGAACTTTTTTAGTGTCAGAGTGGTTGACAAATGGAATGCATTAGGAAGTGATGTGGTGGAGGCTGACTCCATACACAGTTTCAAGTGTAGATATGACAGAGCCCGATAGGCTCAGGAATCTGTACACCTGTTGATTGACGGTTGAGAGGCGGGACCAAAGAGCCAGAGCTCAACCCCCGCAAACACAACTAGGTAAGTACAACTAGGTGAGTACAGGAAGCAGCCCGTGACAGCTGTCTAACTCCCAGGTACCTATTTACTGCTAGGAGAACAAAGCATCAGGGTGAAAGAAGCTCTGCCCATATAAATTCCACCATCGTCGGAAACCGAACCCGGACCCTAGGATTACGAGCCCTAAGCGCTGTCCACTCAGCCACAGACCCCCCTGTTGTGTGCGCGCGCGCGTATGAACACAAACTGTGAAGGTGAACAATTTGAGATATAAAATAACAAATTAGATGAACAAAAAGTTCAAAACGCCGAAATATTCACATGATTTAATTTCCAGTTGGCAAAACTGTTCAAAAATGTTACATTTATCCCAATATCCAAAAAGCTGTATGAAAATAGATATATCTAATGATTGGCTTGTATGAGGGAGCTATACGGGTGAGTATGACATGTTCGCCTGGATGAAACTCCCAATGGTAGTGATTTTGGGGGATGCAAATTGTTGCAAATGTGTTGATTGAAGTCTATTGTCCATCATATTCATGCATAGATGCGCGAATTGGCCCAAATGTAATGAGTTTAAAGGTCTTTCTAAACGAGGCTGCAGATGTGTATAGGATTATACGTAATAGTTAATTTATATTGAATTCCACTCACCACACACACACACACACACACACACACACCATACACACACACACCACACACACACACACACACACACACACACACACACACACCACACACACACACACACACACACCACACACACACACACACACACACACACACACCACACACACACACACACACACACACACACACACACACACACACACACACACACACACACATACACACACACACACACACACACCACACACACACACACACACACACACACACACACACACACACACACACACACACACACACACACACACACACACACACACACACACACACACACACACACACACACACACACACACACACACAACACACACACACACACACACACACACACACACACACACACACACACACACACACACACCACACACACAACACACACACACACACACACACACACACACACACACACACACACACACACACACACACACACACACACACACAACAACACACACACACACACACACACACACCACACACACACACACACACACACACACACACACACACACACACACACACACACACACACAAAATCAATAGACATTGCGTCTTCCGGAGAGGAACTTGGCCCCGGACCTGAGGCAGAGTGCTGCCACTACCGGTGACGCTCACACCACTACACTCCCTCCCCCCTACTCTCCATCCCTCTATAATCACATCCCAGGTATACATATACATATCCATGTCCAGGCGCAGAGAGCCCAGACATACATACCCTTCCGTCGGGAGAGTTGCCCAACAGCTAGAAGATGGCTAGCGTGTCCCCTATACACATGGGTGGATAGGAAGTACTCGTGAAGGATAATTAGGATGAGACGGGATAGAGGAAAATGGTCACACTCTCTATGACTCGAAATATTTGTTCAAAACTAGACAAAAATACAAGAGTACCTAACAGATAAGAGTCAGAGAGCCAGAGGGTTAGAAGCTGGTACCTAACAGATAAGAGTCAGAGAGCCAGAGGGTTAGAAGCTGGACTAGCAAAGGGAGAATAGGCTCACTGACAATGACAAAAAGGTGTGTGTGTGTGTGTGTTGAGATCAACAAGAGATTCCAGGAGGTCTTCACAATAGAGCAAGGCGTAGTGCCGGAACTATGAGATGTGTTAAACTGCCACTCGCGAACTTTGATATTACGAGAGATGAGTTAAGATATGATCTATTGGAACCTGACGGACCAAGTCTCTCTCACACCCTGACAATGGGTACTAAAAGATATAGCAGAGGCACTGTGCTTGCCACTTTCTACGGTGAATAACAGGTCAATGGAATCAGGAGACCTGCCAGAAAGTTGGAAGACGGTTAAAGTAATTCAAGTTCCAAAGAAGAGTAGGACAGAAGACCCTGAACTACAGACCAGTGGACCTAACTTATATATACCCTGCAAGGTCTTCCAACCTGTCCTCTTAAAACATAACGTCGCTTTTGGCCGTTTATCCGTATGGCCGAAAGTGGACGTAATTTAAAAATGAAAAAAAATGAAAATAAATTTGGGATTTTATTTTTCAACAACAGTATGTTAAGGGTTCTCTGGTACGTTAGGTGGGCAGGAAATTCTCATAAAGTTTAAAAATGGTATGAAAAATGTTAATGGAAAGTTTCCTCTCCTAACCTTTCCGAGTAGGCCGGACGACTCCAACAGAAAACGGGACAGTCCGTCACTTTTTTGAGCCGATTTCATTTCAAATTACGTCAACTTTTGGCCATAGCGCGCGCATATGAGCCCAAAGTGAGGTTATTGTTAAGAGTACGGGTTGTATAGAGATCACTAGAAAACAGCACATCAGGAGAGAAGGAGCCGTTTAACACCACCAACATGGGTTCAGGGACGGTCAGTTTTACCTCACAAGTTTAATCCAATTCTACGACCAGACGACAACAGTTGGGCAAGAGAGGAGGGTAGACTGCACATTTAGAGCTGCCAGAAAGTCTTCGACACAGTTCTCCATATGCTACTAACGTGTTGATTGAATAAGAATGCAGATGTGAGAAGGTACTCCAGTGGATGAGGGATCGTACACAGGTTCGATCCTCCTCCACTGCCCCAAACACTTCCTACCAAGAATAAAGCGGGATAGAGCTTATAATGACAGCTTCGCCTAACCTTACCCACGGGATAGGTAATTAGGAGAGGTGGTATCTCTAACTCCTGGTGAATTGCCACGGCTACACGTTAAGAATTGTGGTGTTAGATATCTTGTACGTCGTTGTCAATGCCTCTCAGTGTGAGAACAGTGTTGAAACTTACAGGAACAGTAGCTAGTGAGTTAATGTTTGTTTTGGTCATACTGGAAAACATCTTTCATACTTTCTGATGACTTAGAGACCCGTCTCTTAGCTCTTAGACTCCTGAGAGCGCTTGAGATCAAGAGCTAAGCCAATTAGAAGACACCTGCATCGTTAGGGATCGTTTGCCACATCTCAGGTAGTTAGAGGTGAAGCAAACAACCTCAAGGAGGCGATTAAAGTCACAATAATAACTCGTGGGACAGGCAGACAGGGTATATATACACGTTAAGCTTATATATCCAGGTAAAGATGCAACCCCTCAACAAGCTCATTAACTCCTGGGGCACCAATTTTACTCCTGGGTGAACAGGTGCATTAGGTGACAGGAAATATGCCCAACCATTTCTGTCCCTTCAGGGATGCGAACCCAGAATTGCCCAAGTGTTCCAGTAACCTCTGTCACTTGCCTCCAAGTTTACAATACAATTACTACAAGATTACCCTCTTAAAAGCCCCGGAGGGAGGTTCGAACCCATTTCAGTGCCTAAGAGCTCAGGAAAAGCGTACAGATATTGATGATATTGTCTCATAACTGTTGTCAGTTACTTACCCTGTAAAGATCTCTATGTTGAAGAACGCATACTCGCCTGTAGCCACCATGTTGAGCCCCGCAGCGGCCAACATGATCCTCCGTATGTTGCCTGGTGACCCACATATCA